TGTGTAGTGCAGGTATGGGTGGGGGGCTCATGGGCTGATGTCAGAAATTTGCTTTCCATCTTATTCAATGCAGTGGGACTTCTCAGTTGAACCCCAGCTTGCTTTAAGGATCACTGGATCACCTTCCAAAGCTAGAGATGCAGATGGTTGCCACTCCAATCCGAACTTCATGTAGCTTTGTGAGATACAAACTCAGATTCTCTTGTTTGTGTTGCAAGCATTTTAGGGGGCTAAGCCATCTCCCCAGCCCCCTAGATGCATAAAACAAAACGAAACCAAAACAACAAAACAGCCCAAAGAGGTTACCTTTGGATACTTATCCAGAAAGATAAATGGACTGATTGATAAAAGAATTGATATAATCTCCATGACTTCCAATATCATTGAAGACCACACCAATGCTAGGGGTCTGGGCCACCATCTAGGACCATATTGGTGTCCATCGGCCATGCAGCTGCAGAGGCCATGCTGATCTGAGTGGTGTGAGCTGCCACTTGCGGTCATGGTGGTATCCAGGTCTGGGCTGGTATAAGGATCATATCTAGATCAGTGGTCCTCCCATAGCCAGTGTCTGTGTTAACATCTATGACACCTGGTGCCACCAAAGGTCACTTGGATACCCAGGGTCTAGGCTGAAAACTGTGGTCATGTTAATGTCTGAGAGCTGTGTTGCCACCAGAGCCATGCCAGTCTGGTTGGCTTATGCTGCCACATGGGGCCATGATGTCCTCTGGGCCCTAGTTGCCAAGGGCCATGTCTGGGTCTGTGTTCCTATTGCACTTATGGCCCATGTTATAGGAGGGTCATAGGAACCATTCATGTTGAAATACAAAGGCTATGCTGGGCTGGCTTTGCCCCCCACTAACCCTGGGTTAACTGATCCCACTTCTGGTAGGAGAGCTCCCCTCCCACACTTGTGAGAGATGACCCCATTCATCACCATGGGCTTAGGAGAGCTGACTCTGATGGAATGGACTTAGGGGAGCTGGCTCTGCCCACTCACCTGACAGGGGGGCAGTCCTAGTGGCCCAGAGTCATCAGCCCAGCTACCACCCAGACCCACATCCTGGGACTTAGGTTGGCTCACCCTAACATCTACCCATCTATGACCTGCTGGAACACATGAAGGGACTGATCCTATAATGACAGCAGCAGGATTTCCATGACTCAGGGCCACGTGGGACATCCCAGAGGAGTTTTGGTGAGGGACCAGTGATGATGGTGTTCCAGAGGCCTTGAACCAGATCAATGAACCATTGCAATGACCATTTTGCTGGTTGGGCTGATTGGACAAAAGTGTATATGCTTTGTCCAACACCTAATGTCACTAGGATAAATGAAGAGGTGTCCAAAGATGGAGGAGTGAGGCGGACTTTTTTTCATTTATTTGTTTTATTTTTGGTTGGGGGGAACTTTCAGGGAGGATCCTGCTAGGATGAGGGTCAGGGTTGGGATGCATGACGTGAAATTCACAAAGAATCAATAAAGAATTATGATATATATATATATATATATATATATATATATATATGAATTTACAACCAAATTTCTGCAGCCTTCAATGCCAGTTTATTAAATTACAACTATTATATATGTTAACACATATAGTCTTTAATTTACAGAGATTAGAATTCATACATGGGATGCATACTAGTTAATTACATACCCAACAACATACAATATGCATTTTACCATGGTGATGTGACGTTTTAACATAAAACATACAACCAATGAAAGCACATAGGGCTTATCACTAAAATCAGGCATCTGTTCAGCCTGTATGCCCTCTGAGACAAAGAGGGGGAAATGGTATGTCTTAATCACTTTAAGACTAAAATCATGTACATTCACTGTTCTGTTTACTCATTACTGTGAGTCTCCTTCCTTCTATGTGCACACAGCATAGCAGGATTTGCCTCTTGTCTTGAAACCATCTAGGTATGACAGGCACTCCAAAAATTAAGAGATAAAAATTTAAAAACCCCTCAAATTAGTTAACAATTCACAGATCAAATTGAAAGGCTGCTGAGTATGGCATTAGGGCACAGGAAGTTGAGTTTTGTCTCCATATTCCATCAAGCTACTGCTCAGCACCAAGCCATGTCACCTCTCCTAGCCCGCGTTCCTTCATTCTTGAAGTGATATAAGTTTGGATAAACTCTGCAGTGCATGCCAACTTTAAAATCCCATGATATTCTCTCTACTGGCTGAGACTTCAGAGTTGATAGGTTGGTGGGGGGATAACTCTTGTAGCTCAATGGGAACCACCAAACTCTTTGCAGGGCTGCCAAGTTTGTCATGATCCAATGGGTGGTCACATGGCTGTAGATTTTGGAAAAGGGAATCCTTTGGCTTAATCTTTCCTTTGACCTCCATGATGCAGTGGCTTCTACAAAACTCTTTTTTTTTTCTTGACTCTCTCTAGAGAATGAGTAATCATCACTACCAGGGCCAAATATATATATATATATATTTGGGGTCAGAAAAATTGCTTTAGGTATGAACACTATGTATAAGCAGTCTCCTTACTCTTCTACACTGCCCACTGCCCCACAGGTAGTCAAAGATATTTAGCCTGCTTTTCTTCTTCAATTTCTCCTCTAGTTGCATCAGATTGAGTGCCACTTTCCTAGAGTTGAAGGTTGGAAGACAAGACTTCAGCTCTGGCTATTCCATTAAGACACTAAGTGGCTCTGGAAAAGTAGCTGCAATTTGGGCTTCTGAGTCTCCTCAAGATGGCTAGATGGAAGAGACAAACATGTCACAGAGCTCAGAAAGTTTTGACTGTAATAGAGTAGGCCAACACGTCAGTGTAGCTACTCCTGATATTATTACTGTCAGCACTACTGAAGGGTTCATTGAATTCTTCAAGGACTAGCAGCCAATATGTTATAATTCTTCTAATAATCTGGACAATAATGAAAATTTAAATAAATACTACTGAAAACAACAAAACACTCCCAGTGCTCTAAGCCCTAAAACCCAGAGGATTTTGAGGGGGTAGACATATCTGAATGTATTTCGCAAGGGACAGAATATAAACAAACCTGCTCTAGAAGTTAATCTCTATGTCACAGTCATGGAAACCTGATTGAGTAAGGACTTACTTGAGATAAATACCATGCAAGAGAGTGCTGGCAATGGCCATGTCTTGTGCACAGTGAACTCTTGGACTTCTATAATCCAGAGGAGTTACTGACAAACACAGAGTTGGAATTTCCTTTGGGGTGGCGTAGCTTGCACTGAAATGGATCCAAGGGCCCAGGCATGACTGGAACTTGATATGTTTCCAAAAGATGAAGTGCTAAAAAAAGTACACTTTCCCTTTTCCCACTGTACTTTAGTAAAACAATAAAATCACCTCAGAAATTACAACCCAGAAATTGTGTTTTGCCAAACAGAACCAAAGCAAGGTTAAAAAAAAATCAAGTGACCTATGAATACTGATTATGGCTTTTGCTGGGAACATGGACTTTTCTGCACCTCTAGGCATCCATAAAGTTCTAGCATTTTCAAAGGTGTTTGTGTCAAAATTTGAGGCCAGTAAATAACAACTTCTTTGTGTTTGTTGTTTCAATGCTGGCTGGTTCTCACCATAGGGAATTGTAGCCTTACATTCCCCTCTCATTTATTTATGGGAGACTGCCCTTGCATAGCTATTATAAAAACTCTCAAGTGGAAATACAAATCATTTTGTTGAATGACCATTCTTCATTAAATGGTGCCCATATTCATAATAAGAAAATACCAATGTGTCTCAAGTTACCTAATTCATTAGCTAATACATCCAGAGTGATTAAAAGCTCCACCGGCAATGGAGATGCCAATCTGTTAGAATGAGTGGATCTGAGAACAAAATAATTTGATTTCTCTGTCCCCAGGGCAAGCAAGTACTAAGTAAATGTTTATGATTTGAGTCCAGTAGCCTTTTGAGATGCATTTAACCAGCAAAGCATTTCTCACTAAATTAACTAATTTCCAAAACACATGTCCCCTTTCTAAACTCCTTAAGTATATTAATTTATCTTTAAGGACCAGCCCATGTTCTATTTTTTTTATTTTAGTTTAATTTAGTTTAGTTTAGTTTAGTTCAAAATAGCCCAGGCTTGCCTGAAAATTACTACTTAGCCCAGGTTGTCCTCAAACTCATGGCAATCCCCCTGGCTCAGTCTCCCACATGGAGGGATTACAGATGTATACCACAACCTCTGACTCCATCACATGTTTTTAAAAAAGTGTTTTTTCCCCCATCTTGCTTTTAAAAGCATTAGCCTCATGTTCATTGTGGGGATAGTACCTCCTTGGAAATGGAAGTGCTGGTTTCAGTCCTACTAGGAATGTCTTTCTGTATAGATTATATATATGTTTTAAACAACATCAACAGAGAAAATTTGAGCTCTAGTTTTCACTAGTCAGGTGCAAAATGAACACATGGGGATCCCTCTAGAGCCTCATACATCTCACCATGCCAGGGGGTCCCAGCCCTGGATAAACACCCAAGCCATCCAGATCACCCGTGGGCACCCCTGAAGGCTGTGACAAAAAGCTTGGGTTTAATGGAGGAGTTGAACAGGTCACTCCAGCTGCTTTAGTGCAAGCCCCTTCCAGCTCGGTGCTCTCATGTACCATGGAGACAGACTCAGGAAGAACATTTCATTCTCCGTTTCTGACCATGGAGCCAGATTGGAGTCACTGACTAAGCATCCTCAACTGACCAATGAACAGGAAGGAGGGAACCTTGGAAACATGTCCTGAAAGCAGTAGATTGTGCCATCAAAGATGGGTGTTTCCATTTTTAAAACCCAGCAGGTCTCTGCCAAATATGAGCCCTTCTGCATTTTCCATTTACTGTTTCAGTCCATAAGGTATATAGAAAATCAACTTTGGGTTCCTAAATTATGTAGCTAAACCACGTCCCCTAATCCCTGATCCCCCAAACTCCTGATTATAGCTCCATATTAGCAAAGAAAATTGGGAAGTGGGAGGGAAGGGAGGTCCTGCATGATTATGGTTGTTTTCCCCTTAAAGCAAGAAGGCTCCAAAGAAAGTTTTATCTTCTTTTGTGTAATCCACCAAGGAGACATCACTGACATTGACCATCAGCCTGTCCCCTTCTTCCAGGGAGAACATAGCTCCAAGGTAAAGGGGCTGAAACCAGTTATTGCTTATTTCACACACGGTCTTGGTCCCTGTGAGGAGGTGGGCAGGCTCCGGATAGTCGTCTGTTACCTTGGTGATAACCACGACGATGGAGTCTGGCCTGTTTGGTAGTTTCCCTTGGCTGGTGTCACCACACCTGGATGTGACCCCTCGGAATGTGATCTGGGAGTAAATGAAATAGTCTCCCGACTCTGGGATCACCAGGAATTTGTTGGTGTAGTTCATCCGGTTCTTGGTGAAGGCCAAGCCTAGTTCATGCTCCCAGTGCAGGGCTGGGAACTGGTTTTTCACATGTGGTACTGGAGCTTGTTTAAGAACTGCAAATATAAGAGAGAAGTTTAATTAGCACAGACCAGAACCTGTGGCCTTTGGTAAAGTCATGTGCTATTTTCCTGTCTGTTTCCCGTGTGTACTGTGTCTACACATGTGCATACAGGTACACGTGTGTGTGTGTGTGTGTGTGTGTGTGTGTGTGTGTGTGTGTAAGCCAGAGGTAGAAGCAAGATGCCCTCCTCAGTTGTTCTCCACAGTATTTACAGGGTTTTTCACTCAACCCGGAGCTCACCAATTTAAGTAGACTGGCTGGCTAAAACGTTGTAGGGATCCACCTGTCTCTGTCTCTCTAGTGTTAGGAATACAGGTATGCATGGCTGTGCCTAGATTTTCAGCTGGGTGCTGGGGATCTAAGTGTAAGTCCTCCTGCCTCCCAGCAGGCACTTTGCAGACTGAGCCATCTTTCCAGCTCTGGTTTCCTGCACTCTCTGTCCTTGGTGACTCCAAGAGCTTATGCAACTTATTTCACAGTCAGAACTGTGGCATTTCTGATCATTTATGTTTGTGTCCTGGGATGTGGTCATTCATATTTGACTCACAATAAATTTTTTCTTTTCTTTTTTTTGAGATAGGGTTTCTCTGTGAAGCCCTGGCTGGCCTGGAACTCCCTCTGTAGACCAGGCTGACCTTAAATTCACATAGACCCAACTGCTTCTGCCTCCAAAATCTGGAATTAAAGGTGTGTGCCACCACCACCTGGCTACATTATTTTCTTGTTTATAAATTGCTGTTCTACATGGACACAGCGAAAGTTAAGAAATCCTTTACTCTTCTGTACCTGAAAGGGATTTACTGCTAACACCTTGCTTATCCAGGACAAGTCCCAACACCAGACCATCCTAGTCCTCATTCCTGGATCCCCGAGTGATGATGAGTTCACTTGTTCTCCTCCTTGACCAATTGGAAAAAGATCCACCCAGAAAAGTTGTTCTTCAGGCCTCTCATCTCACTTTCAGCCTGCCCAGCACCCAACTGGTTGACTTAGGGCTGTGGCATTCTCGGAGTATCTCTGATAACTCTTTATCCTCCTTTCTTATGTCTGGTTTGTTCCAGCTTTTCCTATCCACTCCTTACAAGTAAAAGTTCCTGTACCTTCACTGGAGAAACTGGCAGGCTTTGTGTCAAAGCCTGCTCCCAAATGTAATATTTCCATGATTATAGCAACATCCTCCTCATCCACAGTTCTATACCTGATCATGCACCCCAATTTAGGATACAAAAATATGGGGGAGAAATGGCGTCTATTGAACACTCTCTTTTCTTTTTATATTTTCCTAAACAATGTAGTAAATCTACTTCCATTGTATTAGGTGTTAAAAGCCAGGCAGAAGTATTTAACACACATGGGGAAGAGGTGTGTAGGTTTTATTAATGCTATGTCATTTTCATATAAGGGACTTTAGCATCTGAAGATTGGACTGTCTCCCAGAGATCCTGGAAACAGTTAACCACCAATATGGAATATATGTCATGGCTGTAGTCTCCTCTCTTTCATTCTCCTTCCTTTCAGAATAATTCCTTTTGCATATATGCCATATTACTAAATCTGAGTTTGTTTTTATTTGGCATCTCTTTCCCTTTAAAAAATAAATAATACTCCTGAGAAGGAATAAAAGAGGTATAAAATCCATGGCTATTGGGGGGAATACACTCATCTTTACTAGTATTCATGTTTCAGACAAGGCCTGTTCCAGTGACAAGACAGAAAGGAGAGAGGGAGGGGAAAGGGAGAGGGTGTGTGTGTGTGTGTGTGTGTGTGTGTGTGTGTGTGAGAGAGAGAGAGAGAGAGAGAGAGAGAGAGAGAGAGAGAGATCAACCTGGTCATTACATCATAACACTGTGGTCCATTGTCCCAAAGAAGGCAGTACACAATAATGAATTACCTGAGGACATGTTGGGGACCAGAGACTCAGAACATTTTGCAATTCTTCTCCCACATTGACAAGGCCAAATATAAGTCAATGCAAATAGACTTGTGGAATGGAAGGAAGCTGGGCTCTGGGCCACTTGGGCCCAGTACCAACTCTGGTTCTACACCATGCAAAGCTCTTTAATCAACTGTGCATGTTGATTTTCTCTTCTGTAACTCAGCTTCTTGCCTGGAAGCTGAGGATAGGGCTCTTTAGAGCCTTGTTTTGAAGATGAAGTGGACAGAACAAATGTGGGCATTTTATAGATTACAGTAGGTTGGGTATAGTTGGGCTCCATTTTTCTGTTCAAATAAAGCACCATGTTTCATCTAGACAGATTAAAGAGTAAGCCTGTGCCATTTTATATATTTTATATGTTCTTATGCTTCATATGACTAATATAGACAATGCTTTTTGAAATATGTCTGTAGTTGAAGGAAATGAATAGAACCAAACTTATTTCAAACCACTGATGTCTAATAGGTTAATTTGCAACAAAACTAAGACTTTTGAGGCAACGAAACATCTTAACTCCCTATAACTGCTTTGGAAATTCTCAGCAATTACCATTATGTACTGACACTACAGTTTGGGGATAGCTTCTGTTTTAAGGAACAATTTAACAACATGCATATCCAATGGGTGAAGAGAAATCTAGACCCTGGACCTTCTAAGGTGCCCTTCCCATTCCTGAATGGACTAGGGTCTCTTTTGCAAGCTTGGTGCATGTCCTGAATGGATGTGGACTCTTCTGGTTTTAACATCAAGTGGCTCTTGCATCTTTGTCAGTCACATGTGGTGGTTTCTGTCCCTTCACTATGCATGATTTAGTGATTGACATGTCTTCTCAGATGATTCATAAACATGTCCTATTATGTCTTCAGAGAGGCAAACTCTATAGCATTGAATGTAATAAGCTGTGTTGTTAGCAGCAGTCAGAGTTGGGGTTGGAATCCTGTTGCAGTGGAAATCACAGTTGACTTTGAACTCTTCTGCTGCTTACCTATCTTACAAGGAACATGTGAATTATTGTCTGAGTTTGAGTTTCCCAAATGTTTTTCTCATATATATGTGTATATATATATATACACACATATATATACATATACATATATATATACATATATATATACATATATATATATATATAGTGTGTGTGTGTGTGTGTGTGTGTGTGTGTATCCAACTGTGTGTGCACCTGTGAAAACCAAAGCTGACACTGAATGTCGTCCTCTATTGCTTCCTACTTTAATTTTTGGGATGGGTCTCACAGAACATGGAGCTTAGTGTTGTAGCTAGTCTGACTGTCCAGTGAGCTTCTGGGATCTGACTGACCCCTCACTCCAGCATCAGCATTACAGGAATATACTACCATGCCTGACATTTTACATGGGTGCTGGGGTCTGAACCCAGGTTCATGAACAACAGCATTTCACTCACAGAGCCATCTCCCCAGACCGTAAAAGCCAATGCAGGGTTCTTTCATCTGTTATAAGTTCCAGAATTACTTGAGAGCCCCAGGTGTAGGAAAACCACTTTTTTATGGCTGGGAGTGTGTATGCCAGAAAAAAAGGTAGGGTAGAAGGTTGACTTAAGAGGAGTGAGCACCTGAGAGACATAGGTCCCTGGATCAGTGACAGGGAAGAAGAAATTACTCAAAATCCCTGACTTTCAGTTCTGTTGCCATTATGAAGCCACTACAGTGAGTTTTGGTAACTATAATGAAAGAAATTTCAGGCCTATGACCCAGGGTGTCCAAGAATGTACAGGAAGTCTTACTTGTCAGGTGTGCCCGTGGTTTGGCTCTGGAAGGTGTATCTGGAACAAAAGGAGAAATATGCTTTGAGTAATGAGTAATAGAGAAAAACAGCACCTGTGATGGGGAAAGGAATATCAACCCCATCTCTTGAAGTTCAGCTCCACACCTCATGGGCTTTGGATTGCCGTGTGGTATGGTATCTGTAGGATGTACCACTGAGGACATGGGAAACTTAGGAGTGTGAGTCTTGAGTACAAAGGACTTCAGGCAAGTTGCTTGGCCTGGGCTGTGTTCTCCTATCTCTGAGATGGGCACAGCAATCTCTACCTTGGATGTTGTGTTCATATGGTTCCTGGCTCCTAGTCAGGGCCTAATAAAACAATGGCTCATTGCTTCTTCTTCAAGGCTGTTCTGTGAGGGCCAGTTTACTTTTTGTATTCCTTATGGTTCTTTTACTATATCCACTGAAGAGTATGGATAATGCACCAGAGAAGGGATGGGGAGCGAGTAGGATCCCTTCTGCTGTTCCATAACCTTGGGCCTTTTCTCATTAGTTTTTTAGAAGGACTTTGTAAAGCAAAATATTGGCTTTTGTCTTACATGTTCTCTGCTCTAGAATCTATTGATAAAGATGATTTTGATTATAAACAGCAACATCTATTGTGTCCTTTTGCTGCTTTTGGAACTGCTGTTGGAGTTGACTAATTTCATTTACACTCGCCTTGCCAGAAAGGATAACCAAGAATGAGTGTAGAGGCTGGATTGATCTGTCTGAAGGTCGCATTGCCTAGCATTATCTGTAAGCTGGGAGCTTGGACTCAGGCCACAGACTGTCCATGTAGACAGAGCAGTGTTGTGTCTTCTAAACAATGAGTGAGGAGCCTCACTATTAAGTCTGTCTGCATCCCTTGGCTTAGCAATGTGGCAATTAAAGACCCATCTCCAACTGCCTACATCCTGAAACTATCAGAAACTCCCTTATTCCCCACAAGAAAAGGCATCAAAGTTGAACACTTACAAACTGGCTGTGCTGAAGGTTCAGACATCTGTTCTGTTATAGCCTGTTGAGAAAGAAAGATATAGTTCAGTCCTTGTAGCCCTTCTTACCTCAATATACAGAGAGAGATGCCCATAAGACTCTGAGCCTTGGTCCTTTACTGAGAGGGAAATGGTGTTGGGGTATCTCAGTTGGTGGGAGTCTTGCATCTCAGCTCTGCACTCCTCTTCTAGAGACCCCCTTGTCCTCCCTCTATCTTTATCTCTTAGCTGGAGAGCTTTTCCTGCTGTATCCTAGGAGACTTCGGCATCCTGTCATTGCTTGTAGTAAACCAACAATGGATGTTACTTTAACTTTCTTCACTATATTTTGAATATTTGAACTATTCTTTGTATTGGCATTTACTAATTGTGAATCATGGAGGACTTCATAAAGACATTCTCAGCCAAGTATATAATGTACTTTGACCATATTCATCCTCTTATATTTTGGTCTTCTCTTTTTCTCCTAAGCTACTCTTCTTTTCCCCAGATGGCCTTGCTTTTAATTTCATGTAACTCACCCCTCTATAGACATATCTATATCATCTATATTCGTATCTCTCTGTAAATGATTGCATATAATTTAGGATTCACATATGAAAGAAAACATGCAATATTTATCTCTCTGAGTCTTAAGAAATGACCCAGACAAAGAAATAATGGCTACATTCTCTTCCTATCAGTCTTGCCATTCTTCCTTGTTTCCATGGAACACATGAGGAATTCTTCCACTATCGCAATCCCAATTCATAAGTCATTTCAGATTTCCTATGGTAAAGGAAAAGCAACTATCTTGGCATCAGATGGACATGCATTTGGATTGTGATTCTGTCCTTTGTCAATGATAAGATCTTGTGAAAAACACCTTTCCTCTCTGATTTTAGTGTACCCACTTATAAACTGGGGATACTGACACCTCCAAACTTAAATGGCTTATGGAGTTGAGGTGAAGGTCAAATAAGAAAATGCTCCAGGCATTTCAAAGAGTATGTGGGTAATACAAGACTTACCACTTCCAGGCCTGAGCACAAGGCTCAGGAGCAAGACAGCCCCCCCCCAACTGAGTAATAATAACATCATCTTTTCACATGTTTGGCACCTTTACAAGCCAGTCTTCTGATTTGGATCTTGTAATTACATAGTCTCCACTAACAGGTTATTTTATTTCCCACTACTGTGGATGTCTGATTTGTGTCTACAATGTAAAATCTGCATGAGCATGTGTGTGTGTGTGTGTTTAAGGGGGTATATCTGTGTGAATGCAAAGGAATAGGCTTCAACACTGGAGAATGTTCCCCAGTGTGTCTGGGTCCTGCCTACTGCTCTCTGGGTCCTCCTAAAGCGTCCTAGCAGAACTGCATGCCTTTGGATTTTTCCTTTCATCTATTTTCTAGGTCCTCTCTGACGGCCAACTAGAGCAAATTCTATTCCTATCAAGATTCTATTGTGCTCATAATCCTGTGGTGATTCCTCATAGCTTTCATGATAAAGTTCTGTACTTTTGAAAAGTTACAGTTTATTTTTGTGTAGGTATGTACATTCACAGTGTATGTGTGGAGGTCTGAGGACAACTTGTTCTACTCTGTTATGTGCTTTCACCCTGGGGATTCTAAAGTAAGCCCCTTACTCGCAATGCCATCTCACTGTCCCCACACTTCTAATTTATCCTGACATCTTGTACCCCATCAACTTATCTGTCTTGTCGACTGTTTACTTCTATTTCCCCCATGTTTCCAGATGTAAGAGGAAACCACAGTGCACGAATGAAGAAATTTACAAGTACAAAGAGTGCAGTTGTTGCTTATTTATGCTGACAGCACATCCTCAAGCCTCAAGAAACACTATATTGAATGTTATTCACATCCTCATAGTGATGGTGGTGCTTGACGAATGTCCTACATCTCACATGTGGTGGAATAACATGTTAACTCTGGTCAGGTGACTCTAGGATTTCAGTACTGAAATCCTGGCCCTTAAAGCTTATGGACAAACCCCTGATGTGTTGAGGCAGAAGACAACAGGGTCAGCAAAGTAACAGTGGGACAAGCTCAAGGTTCGTTAAACAGGAGACTGGTCCAGAACTGTGAGGAGTTGTGGGAGCCAGTCTGAACAGATGCTTACAGGTCCTGACGTGTTAGTCAGATGATGGAGGAGCAATAGCCATGCTGAACATGCTGACAGCTTGTGCAAGAATTTCACACAGGGATAGCTGGAAAATGGCAAGGCTTCCTGCTAGGGAATGAAGACACCATACATATACCCCCAGGGTTTTGGAAAAGCCAAACAATTGCTGGGACAAACTGTCACACATCCATAATTTGCTGACTTGAGGGGCAGAGATGCATCCCAGAAGTGGCTTGGTTTCTATCTGGTGTCTGACTTACTATGGGCAGAATTGATAAAGGAATTGGTTATTTGATGAGACAGAAAGTGGAAAGTGGGATACTCAAAGAGAACTGGAGAGATCTTGATTGAATCTCCTCATGGTAAACAGAAAGTATACCTGCCTTAGTTGGATTTCTTTTGCTTCATTCACTTCTCTGCTGAGATACTGTATCATTCATCCTGCTATTGTTGCCTCAATGGACACACAGTACACATTTTGGAGCATTCCTCTTTGATAAAGACTGTGAGCATGTATCTGGGATATGCACACAGGTTCCTGATGGCTTTATTGGGTTTCTAGTACCTGGACACATTATATTCATATATGGTTGGGATGCATGGATTTTAGTGGTCCAGACCACCACTGGATATGGAGGCTGAGCTAGTGCCCTGCTGGAAAATACTGAAGACTACAGCACTCCCAAACTCTGCAGGAAACAATGAGCTGGGACTCTGTCTTCCTTTCCTTTACTGATTTTTAGAATAACGACTGTCATGGGGGGGGGGGCTGCTGCTGTAGGATGCAGCAATGAATGAGGTGTGAGGGGTAGAATAGCAGCTAGTCTGGGGAAAGTTTCAAGAGCCAAACTGCACTAGTGCCTGCTTCCCAGACAGCTGGTGGCAACACCAGGGCAATAAGACAACTTCCTTGTTCTCTTAGCCTGGTTTTCCTCATCACTTCTAAGTGACTCTGGGGTTGTGAGGAGATGACAGCTCCAAAGACTGCTACATTAGTCTCCAAATTCAAATTGACCCTGGGCCCAGGCCACGCCTCAAGAATGGGACATTTCCTCTTAACATGATTTCTCAAACCATGGACTCAGAATCAGGATGCAATTCTGTTTCTTATGATGATATTTTTCCTCTAGGAGAACTGGTTATGTAGAAGGGCAGTGTCTTGGTGTTTGAGATTTTCTGGCATTTCTCCAGAAAAATTCCTGCGAGTGTATTTTAACTAATGATCCACTTAGCCTTCCCTCCCACTCTCTGTAGTCACCTGCTCTGTCTATCCTGTTCGCAAACAGGAAGCTATATTCATTCCTTGCTGTCATAACAGCTGCAATTGAAAAGACATTCATGCTTTATGACCCAAGACACTTTCCCCAGCACGTCTACGAGCATCTGAGGCTTCCTCTCTCTGTGTGTTTTCAAAAGGATAAATCCAACTGGAAATGACTTACTTGAGGTCATTTCATTATGTCATTCTGTGTCAGCCTGGTCCAGGCTTGCCATGGTATATTTGACTTGGCATAGAATGAAGAGTCAGAGGTTTGTAGTAGAGTAAATTCGGAAATCCCAACTTAGTTATTTCTTGACTCTTGATCCCAGCCCATCATCTGACCTCGCTGATTCTTTGCTGGCAGACCCATCCTTATGGCTCAGAGAGGCCAAGCTTGAAGTTGCTATCATTTCATTTCATTTCTTTCTTTCTTTGGGACCCAGCAACAATATGCTATCTGTGCCTTCTTCTCTGGGCTTTTATTGCCTTTTCTGTAAAGAAGAGCTGCCACTGGCTCTGTTTTTAAGAGAAACAGCAGATTTTAGGATCCCTTAAATGTTTTGGGGTGGTGTTATTCCTTTTGCCAAACACAGACACTTTGTAGACTTGTAGGTCTGTGGTTTACGTCTGGACTCTGACTTTTCAGAATACCAATGTATTGAGGAAGCTGAATTGACCCCTGTCTACTTCTAATCCTCAGCTTGTTGCTCTTGTCAGCTGTTATGTGGCATGAGGTTCGGTCTGGGAGATGACTTTACGCTGTGCAAGAGCTGTGGTATCTGCTGGCATGCGTTCTCTGGCTGGATGAGGACACAGGAGTTTGCCCAGCTAGTATGGTTTTCACTGTGGTACAGGCTCGATTGAGGTAGTGACGTGTGGCCCATGAAGTGACCATTGTGTGCTGCAGCCCTGATCACCTGGGAGGTGCACCTGCAGCTTGCTCTCTTGTCCTGCTTTTGAACTGCCACTGTGTTCCCTAACTTTAGAGATAAGCCACTCTTCCAAGGTTACAGCAGGGGTGGCTTCACTGTGGGATCGACTTGTCCATGAGTCTTTTATCTCATCTGTTTGTGTCTTTGAGAAAATGCGGAGGGTTATGGCTATTGTCTACCTTCAAAACAGGAAACACCTTGGCAAATGTAAGAGGCCTGACTATGACAAAGCGAGTAGGGAGATCCTCTGGGGAGCATCCCTTCTTTGCCTCTAGCTTCCTAGGTGCCTAATAGAATTCCCACTATAGTGCTAGGAAGAAAGCACATTGACTCCCTCACTTTATAGAGGGAAGGCTGGTATGTACCTAGTACTTTATCTCTCTTTCCATTCAGCAAACACAAAGTGAGTGTTTTTGCCAGTCACAGCTAGGTACCTTTCCAAGAGGAAATAGAGCTAGTATTTATTGACCATTTACTGTGTTCCAGGCTTTTCTGGAGTGTGAGGTAGGGGAGGGAGTACAGAGAACAGTGGAGCCTTGCAGGGATTATCAGAGAGGTGGAGAAATGAGATTAAAGGGGACTAAGAAGAACATTGGGAAGTAAGTGGAGAGGGGACAGAATGCAACCAGCGATGAGCAGGAAACCCTGCCACACTGTCCAGGTAATTCATTGCAGCAGAATTCAGTACCATTCTATGCCTGGTGTGGCCCAAGAGGCTTCAGAGTGCTCAGTTCTGGCAAGGTGTGTGTGTGTGTGTGTGTGTGTGTGTGTGTGTGTGTGTACGATAACACCAAAGACCTGGCCAGAGGGGCCAGTGTACCTGTTCTGGAGCAGTGACAACTATTCGGGGCTCTTTAGGATACCTGGACCATGGCCAAATGCACCCAAGGAAAGTAGTGGTTTGAGGGGAGAGGTTGTGGTGATGGGGTAAGATTGGGGTGCAGAAGGTGGCGTGGAGATACTCGTAAGGTCAAGAAAAGCCCCACAGCACCAAAACCTGCTCCTTCTTCCATGGCAGATTCCACAGCAGGTGGGGAAGTTGTGCTCTGTGAAGTAATCTCCCAAGTAGGGAATTTCCCTGCTCAGCATGATGTAAGTGCTGCTGTTGGCTAATCTCCATAATGCCAGACACCTTACATACCTTATTTCTAATTATCCACATTTTATACAAATGCAAGCAAAGCCCACAGGAAGGGAGATGGTGCCCTAACTAGTGGCCAGTTTAGAATTTGGACTGGGTTTGAGATTTAAATTCATGACCAGTGGCCTTTCCAAAATTCAAGTCAACCCACTGTCTTTCATACATCTGACGATCCTAAAACACTGCATCACCTGTATTTGTTTTTGAAAGTAGAGAACATATACCATTTTGTTTAATGAATCTTTATAAACATTTCTCTCCTTCACCAGTGGCTCAGCCACCCACTTCCCCCTCCTTGCATGTTAGCAAAAAGCACTAACTTCTCAGCTTTTCCTGGGATACACCATGCACTGATAAACACATACACTTAGGTGAACGCTTTCAAAAAATAAAGCATTTATGTATGCTGTGAGCCTCTTGGTTCTTTACGGTGAACTTGTAAGTGCTGGGCTGTATCAGTTTGCCCATACAAATAACGCAGCAATCTCTTTGTGCCTCTGTCACCTCCAAGCAGACGGCCTGTGATGCGCATCACATCTTGGTTTAAGTATTATTCAGTAATAAAAGTATTTCTCTTCTGCCTTTCTCAAGAGAGAGGTCTTCTCTCTTGAGAGAGAGGTTGGGAGACAATTTTGTTTTCAATTATATTTCTTCGGCATGAGAGCCACAGGCCACCTCTCCGATTCTCCCCATCCCCCTCTCCAGCAGCCCTAATTTCCTGCCAAGCTAGGTGTCTTTGGTGGGTGATTCTGAGAGTGCTGTAGATTTGATCTGCGAAACTCTTCTCTGGGCTGCCATGGGGGTGCTGGAAGTGGCTATGAATTTCCTCCATGGCATTGCTGAATGTAATCTTCTTGCTGCATGATATCTAGAACCTAGTGCAGTGTGAATAACCACTGCCCAAAAGTAGAGTGGGGATCAGGTTGTCTGGTTTTAAGCTTGGATCTGTCTCTGACTAGAGGTACTAGCTTGGAGAAGTCTCTTCATCCCTACCCCCACAGTTTTCCTAGCTGCAAAACAAAGGCTTGTGGGCTGCCCCACTTCCAATGAAATGCCTTACTTTGAACTCAAAGGAAATTGATCAGGACCTCAGGCACAGCCTTATATCTCACAGGTACCTTCCTGGCCTATTGTAGAATTTCTTCTTGGAGCCATGCCACCCTGCCTTGTGGCCAGGCTAGGGAGCACTCTAGCACCCATATGTGGAAGTGGCCTCTTTTCAGTTTCATGCATCAACATTGAAGCTCCTTGAGGCCCAAGGTCAAGTTTCCCTGGTGGTTGTTTGGTGCCTGGCATAGAGTGGCAATCATATCCCAGCATCTTGAGCATGCCATTCAACCACATTCCAGGCATGCCAAATACTCCTGCTCCTGCACTAGTCTCATTAAAGCTGTCAGCACGCTGACAGAAACGCCCTCTCCTGGCTGAAAAGGAAAAGCTGGAAGACAAGAAGCAAGGAGCCTGTTTCTCACTTGGCCAAAAATGACTGAGCTGGGTTTTTAAGCCCAGGGCCCTGAGAGCCATATTTTCTCCTAGTTTTCCCTCCTTGGGTCACACATTCTGCCCTCTCCCTTGAGCCGGTATTTCTTTTTTAGGAACCCCAGTTCCATATCTGCCATTCTCAGTGTGGCTCCTTCCTGGTGAGGCTAGCCTCTTGGCATGGCTGCTCCCTGGATTCTTTGAACCCTGGCTTCCACTTGAGTCCGGTCAGAGGGATCAGAGGTCCAAAGGGGGAAATGGCAATGTTTCCTGCCCCCTCTGCCTGCACTTTTCTCTGTCCAAACTTTTGCATCCTCCAGTCAGGCCCTTCCCAAGGGTTAGCTTCCTACTAGATTCCTATAAGACATTTGTTTTCAACTTTCCTAATGCTGCGGCCCTTTAGTACAGTTCCTCATGTTGTGGTGACCACCTAACTATAAAATTATTTTGTTGCTACTTCATAACTGTAATGAGTCATAATGTAAATGTGCAGGATATTAGACATGTGAACTCACAGGGGCCGTGACCCACACGTTGAGAACCAGCACTCTACAACTCCCTTAACCCACATGCCAAGGGATTGGTGGTGGCTGCTTCCCAGGCTGCTGACCCTGGATGCTTCCCGTTGCTCGTTGCTCTGCATTCTTCCTGCCTGTGCATCTCAGCAGCAGCCCCTCTTTAAGCCTATACAAGCTGTTTATAAATGTTTTTCCCCCCTTCAGCACTCTCCTCTGAATGGCCAGATGCTTCTTTTCAGGACCTGGATGGCTCCCTGCATCTCTATCTTACCCCCTTTCTTTTCTGTTTTGATGCACTAAGACAGCCCAGAGCTTGGTTCAACAATGGCCTCAAGCATGCCTATGGCCACCTCCCCCACTCCAGGAGATCACTTTCTTCATGATGGGATGGGAGTCATTAGGTATCAGCATGGTCAAGCCTTGGGTACCTGAATAGGAGAGGCAGGAAGGGGACTCTGAGTGTTTGCTGTTTGTGATACTTAGCTTCCTCCTGTCCGGTCACTTCCCCTGCTGATTTCCTTCCCGAGGACTAGATGGCCTTCTTTGGCTTCTGCTAACATGGGGCTTACAGACAGCATACTGGTGGTAGGATCCTAGTGCATGCAGAGCTCAGGGAGACACAGGTGCTGGAGGCCACTTAGTAATACTGTGTTCAAGACAGCTGTCCTCTTCTGACCAGGGTTCCCTGAAGTACCTCCTGTGTGTGTGTGTGTGTGTGTGTGTGTGTGTGTGTGTGTGTGTCCTGGGGTCAAAGCCTGACCTCCCGTTTTCCCATTCCTTACAGTTCCCTTCTAACCTAAGCAGCCTTCCTGGTCTATTTGCACATGTCTACATTTTATAACCCATGACATGTGGCTGCCTGAATCACTGTTTGTTGACCCTGATGGAGTGCCAGGAGTTACATATTAGCCACAATGTGGAAATTGCCCAGGAGTGATTAGAGACCAGGTTTCCAATTAAGCCTCCCAATTTCTCTTTTAGAATTGAATCCTTGGGACTAACATTGAATCAGATCACAGATCATGAGGGCATTTCCCCCTAAAGAATAGTCTTCAAATAACACCCTTTGACCTTTCAGAACCTTCCTGGGAGTTCCCAGTCATGTTCTCCTCCTGGACACCTGTACCCTCATTCCCCTAACCTACAGCCTTTTGGTGACAGTCTCTAGCCCAGGGAGATCTTAGGGTCATTAGGTTCTTATTTGAGTACTGAAGAACATTTCTAAACCCCAGAAGGCGAATTGATTAAACAAATTTTAGCACACACATATAGGAACATAGTATAGTAATCCATACATCATGCTGTCACGGAGTCATTAGCATACAAACAAAGCTTCACATTATGTAGGAAACGCAGGGTAATCCCATTTTACCAAAACTAGAAAGGAATTATGTACTTTAGATTGTTAATAGTTTTCACATCTAAGAATTTCTGAATTCTTAATTTCCTTGCTTGTGATTTCTGTTTCTTTTCCTTCAATAATCATGCATTATGTAATAAAATTTAAGAGCATTTTGTTTGTAAGGAAAAGGAATGTTTCTGAAGTATCAGTACACTATGATTGCAATTATAAAAAAATGGAGTGTGAAGTTATTCTTGTATAAACATGAGATGAAACAATTCAATTCCCTGGAAACACAGAGTTAAGAACCAGATGGGACCTCTCCACCTCTCACCCTCCCATTCTGTATTTTCTTTGTCCGGGGGAAGTTAGCAATGCTATCCATGGACAGACAGCTCTGTCATAGGTCCTAAGCTGGACTGTGCGGCTGCCTGCAGAGACCATTGATTCTCTAGGCAGGAGCAAGCTTACTTACCCGCAGTGCACAGTCTTTTCCTGGGGCCCGGAGCTGGTCAAGCATCAGGAAGGTGCTAAGTCCTGCTAGGATGGGCAATGACAACAGGCAGCAGATGAGAGCCAAGCATGTTTTGTTCCTGGAGGCTTGCCTGGCCCTGGCCTCTGGCATCTCCACTCTGGCTGCTTCCTCGAAGCCCAGCCCCAGCTCCTCAGTCATGCTTCTGCTCTCCTGGAAGCACTTCTGACTCCTTCTGACCAGAGACCCCCCATTAAATAAGAAAGCAGCTGTCACATTGGATGACTTAATGTTCTGCCTCTCCTCCCCTTCTTATTCCCCCCTCCCTCTGACAACCCGCTGCAGCCCGCCCTGCCCGGCTAGGGAATGTGCCGCCTACAACAGAAACCAAGTTTGGTTTAAGGAAAAAAAAAAAAAAAAAAAAAAAAAAGAAGAAGAAGGAGGAGGAGAAAGCTTTCCCAAGCATATTTATATACAGTACGCTCATGTGCTCTGTCCTTCATTTACAGAAGGAAGTCAGGAAAGTCCCTGGAGGAGGAGAACCAGAATGTATTAAGTCAGTGGGTCAGTGGGTGGGGCATATTAAAATGTACCTGCTCCCTGCACTGGACTCCTGCCAGATGGGCTGGACTGAGGAGTGTGTTCCTTCTGGAAGTGAAAGTGAGGGGCTGGGAGGTGTGTGGCTTGCAACAGGAAATGGAAATCACGTTTACATCAGTCCTTTGCCAAGTGCTTCTTAGCCTCGTGCCCAGACAGCAACTCCCTGTCATTGTACAGATGGAAACATGGAGGTTCTGAAAGGTACCTGCTCTAGGTCATTTTGGGAGTAAGAGAGCAGAGCCAGGATTGTGTCCATTAGAGATGAGAATTGCCTGTGAAACATAAGGACATCTCTCTCTCTCTCTTTTGGCTTTTGGAGACAGGGTTTCTCCATGTAGCCCTTACTATCCTGGAACTCTCTCTTTAGATCAGGCTGGCCTTGAACTCAGAGGTCCATCTGCCTCTGGAGTGCTAGGATTAAAAGCATGTGCCACCACTGCCTGGTTCACATAAAGATATTTCTAACCTGTTGAGGACAGTCCATGAAGAGAGTATCCAGACATACCTGGGAAAGTTAGAAGTAACTGTCAGAGAGATAAGGACATGGACTCTATGCTCCTGTGTCCCAAAGTTAACTTACTACTAATGCTTTGCCTTGCCTGTGTTGGCTGTGGATGGGGAAGGGTATGACATAATGGCCAACACAATATGGCAAGGGGTAACACTCACCAAGCACTTGCTTTTTAACTTATTGCTGGGAGTTAAGTATGCCAACTACAATCTATTTACTCCACACTAAGACAACTGTTTTTTTTTTTTTTTATTAATTGTTTTTTTGAGACAAGATCTTGTTATGTTGCTTTGGCTGTCCTGGAACTCACTCACTAGGTAGACTGGCCTGGCATCATACTCACAGAGATCTTTTGCTTCCCATTCCAGTGCTGGGACTAAAGCTGTGCAGCACCATACCTGGTCCTGAGGTGACCTTTCCAGGTACGAGCTTCATAGATGAGGTAACTGAGCACAGAGTCACAGAGAGGGCATGACTACAAAAGCATCTGGACTCAGGCAGACTGGCTTTCAACTGTAAACATCACCTTCTGTGCACACATTCACAAGTTCCTTGTACCTGCTCTGTTTGGAGGCATGACCCCCTCTAGTGAGGGTGTGAGGAGGCCTTTTGGAGAGGGGGGTGGGGTTTGAACTTGGTGTTGCAGATAGGGAGGAGTGACATGACTTCAGAGAAATGTAGAGGAGAGGAGCCCTTATACAGGTGGGCTATAGAAACCAGGAATTCAAGGCCAGTGAGATGGCTCAGCAGGTGAAGGTGATGACTTGAGTTTAATATTTGAAGCCTATGTGGTAGAGAGAACTAACAAGTTGTCCGCTGACACAGTATACACACAGAATAAATGTAAGACTAAACAATGAAGGGGGGGGAGAGAAAAAGGAAAAAGAAACCAGGAAAATGGATGGTCTATGGCCTGCTTGTGGCCCCTTGTACCTTGATCACAACCCAAACTCAGTACTTGGGAAATCTCTTGGGCTGGATCTTGCTTATTGCCAGTCTTCCCTAGGGCTCGGCCTCATCTCTTCCTACCTTCTCAAGCTGTAGTTTCTCCAGTCCCCTACAGACTAGTGCTCCCCTGTGGCATTTTCTGTGCTGTGGAAACTATTTTCCTCTTCTTATGCCTAGCCATCCTATATTCGTCAGCTGTACTTACAACCCTTTCTTGCACCCCCTTCCTCCAACTGGATACGATGCTATCTTCAGTGCTTGTCCCATCTTCTTTTGACGTGGAATGCTTCATACTAGACTTGCATTGCAGCATGGGAGGGCAGGTGCTAAGCCAGGTCCATCCCTTGTGGTTGTTGCTCCTAACATGGTAGTGGTTATAGACTGAACTCATAGCTAACACCCATTGAGGTGAATTCCAGCAAATAGTGCTTTTTATGTCCCCTGTTTACTCATGCTAGATTTAACAAACCTATTAAGAAATGGATCTTTGAAATCAGTACAAATCTTTGCTATTGTAACATTTCTTTAGGTGATGGAGGATTGTGCCATGCAACAGATGCTCCAGCTTGTTTAACCTTACCCACTGAAGGGCATTCAGGTTACATCTGATCATTATGGATAAAGCTGTTACTAATACTCATGGAGAGATTTTGTGAAAACTTTTATTTCTTTGGCATCAGTGACCAAGAGTGACTTTGCTGAGCTGTGTGGTGAGCACATATTCATTGTGTAAGAAAGTACTACAGTTGCTTCAGAGATGCTGTACCTTTTCATTCTCATTAGCAGCATGTCAGTGATCCAACAGATTTTCTAGAATTTGGTGGTGGTACTTGTTTTTATTTTATGCATTTTCATTTGTATGGTGTGTGCGTGTATGTACAATGTGTGTGTATATATACATGTCACAGTGTGGATATTGGTGTATATGTATGTGATGTATATAATGCTGTATACACACATATGCCACAGAATGTGTGTATGTATGATGTGTACGTGTGTGTATGTATAGGTCAGAGGACAACTTTGGATGTCAGTCCCTGCTTCCCATTTCGTTTCAGATAGGAATTGCTTATTTGCTGCTATGTAGGCCAGCTTAACTGGACTGAGAGCATCTGGGGATTTTCTGCCTCCCATTTTCCTGTAGGATTTCTGGGATTACGATATGCACCATCACAACTGGCATTATGTTAGTTCTAGGAATTTGAACTCAGTTCCTCATGCTTAGGTTTCACACTTTACCCACTGGGCTATGTCCCTAGCTCACTTTAGTTATTCTTGTTTGTTTGTTTGTTTGTTTGTTTTGAGACAGGCTTTCCCTCTATGTGGTCCTGGCTGTCCTGGAACTTACTATGTATACCAGGCTGGCCTAAATCCACCTGCTTCTGCCTCCCTAGTGCTGGGACTAAAGACGTGCACCCTCCACACCCAGCATGTTTTAGCTATTCTGATATATAATATAGTAACTCACAATGTTTTTGATTTGCATTTCCCTAATGACTAATGATGTCAAATATCTTTTGATATGTTTTTTTGCCATCTGTAAAACCCTCTTTGGTGACTCAGGCATCTATTTTGGTTGTAATAAGTATTTCTTCTTTTCTGTATTCTCAATGGATTCAAAGGCAATGGTAATCAGTTTGTAGATAAAAGAGTTAAGGAACTCATTAATGAAACAGCAAAAACTAGATAAAAAGCCCCACTTTCATAAATTTTATAGAGCAGTCCCGTCTTGTCCCATAGGGAATATGTTTGCATTTGCCTTGTAGATGCCTGAAACTACAAGTAACCAAATGACAGCATTCCACCTCCTATGGTGCAGTTTATGATCAGTGATACTCAGACAAACCCACTGAAGGCAAAAAATACTGTAAGTTGGAATTGTATAGAACACATTTCCCTTATTAACCATCATAGCTTAGTGGCATGGGGTGCTGCAGAGTTTTTATTGAGTGGCTGATGAGGGCTGGGGAGTAATGTAGCTGCTGAGAATCCCCAGGAGTATGTGTCTTAGATTGCTAGGAAAGATACAATAAAAACTATACATTGCTTTTGTACCATCATGAAGAGGAAAATTGTAAGTCAAACTACATACACTGGGGGCATTGTATGTACCTGTGACAAAAAATAGGCACAGTAAGAAAATAGCTGTAACAACTGATGGTAAAATAGAACAATTGAATTGTAACACCGCACTCTAATAAAATTGCCAGCATCACTACTGGTACACTTTGAAACCTCTCTTAAATAAAATAAAGGATAGTTGGTGGTACTCAGGGAGGCAGAGGCAGGCAGATCTCTGTGAATTCAATACCAGCCTGATCTGCAGAGATAGTTCTAGGACAGCTAGGGCTAAACAGAGAAACCCTTTCTCATAAAAACAAACAAAAACAAAACAACAACAAAAAACAAACAAAAAAGAGAGAAAGAAAGGAAAAAGAAAATAAAAGCCTGTGTTAACTTCTCCCAGAGGCAGAAGCCTAATGTTTCAAGGGCAAGACTTTAAGAAGAAATTCAATGATCAGAGAAATGATCCAAATCATCTCTACTCTCCAGGCTCTGTTCTTCCCATCATGTGGGACTGTAAAATGGGGGTGGGGCCAGAATTCTGCGATTGTGAAGGATGCTTCAGCATAATATCTAGGGTTTCTGTGACTCTCTCTGCCTGCCCTTCCTTACTCATCTTTTGGTTTCCCCACTATCTCTGCATGGTCGCTCTAGCATCATGGACTAATTCTTTCTCCATGGTGTACCATGAAGAATGAGACTGGACAGCTGGTAGGTGACAGTAGATGCTTACCCTGTTGCTTCTTGATTGGGAAAAGTAATTATTTTTCTTAATTTAAAATTATTTATTTTATTTTTTGAGATTATAATTATTCAATTATCCTTCACCTTTAATCCCTCCAAAGCCTCCCATATGTCCATCCTTGCGCTTCTTTAAATTCATGGCCTCTTTTTCATTACTTGTTGTTACATACAGGTATGTTATCTGTATATACATATATATTCCTAAATATGTAAATACAACCTGCTCAGTTTGTATATTGTTACTGGTGTGTGTGTTTTCATGGTTGGACATTTGGTATGGGGTAACTAATTGGTATGCTCTCCCCTGGGGAATCCCCTTTCCCACTCTAAGAATCCTCAATTGCCTGTAGTTTTCTATGTAAGGTTGAAATTTCCTGGGCTTTCTCCCATTCATAGTGTTATGCCTATTGCCATTATCCTGTTCAGCTC